GACCTTCTCCATTTTTAACATCTTATTTCTGAGAACTTTTATTTCCTCATCCTTCATGTTGTTCTGCCTTTTCACTTCCTGCAAAATATCTTCCAATTTGTCTATATGCACTTTGAGGTCATCCACATCAGTTACTCCCTTACCACTGGCCATGGCATCTTCAATCCTCTCATCTCCAACTCCCACAGTATCCCAGACATCCCGGGCAACAGCTCGCCATGAGTCACGCTCATTGGGATCTTTCTTTCCATACATGGCACAAAGCTCTTTCATTTTAACAATGGCCAGTGCCTCAATTTCCTGCCTACTATGCCTGAAGTCATTGAGAGCTACCTCATAGCAGATCTCCTTCACAGCCTGTATCTTCAAGTCTGAGATGGTGACCCATTTGGAGTCTTTGCTAAGGCGCCGGCGTTGTGGTATCTGGTACATTTTAATAGGCTCTCGCTTCTTCCCACTGCTGGGGAGACCACACTTTTTTACAATGGTCTGCAGCTTGCTGGGGGGCAGCTTCTCTCTCAAGGAGGTGATTAGTCTCCAGCTCTCCTCACACGATCTCTTGTCCGAATCATCCCCACTATCAGAGTCTGCATCCTTTGGAAAAACAAAAATCAAGAAGTGGCCCCAAAACAACCAAAATTAAAATTGGAAAAAAAACAAAAAACAAAACAAAAAGCAGGCAAAGAAAACCAAACCAAATAAAAACTAAATAGGACAAACCATACAGACATCTCTCATAACTGAATGAAAGACATGGAACATTTCTGTCAGCCTTTCAGTGCTGTTTCCTTTAAAAAGATCGCCATTCTACTAAAATATACATTTGTAGTTAAATCTACCCAACTTAAAAAAAAATACATCTAATCCAAGTTTGTCCTCTCCTAACCCACGTCCAAAATCTTTCAGAGCCCTGACAAAAACAAGGTGTAAACTGCACCCCCACATATGCTTCAAAGACATGCAATTTCATGCCACACACATTTGCCTTTGTTATTGCTGTTGCTTCTTTCAGAAAATCCTCCCCCAGTGAGTGAACATAACAGCCATCGTAGAATGATGTGATGAGCAGCCAAAGTAAGTCAGGTTAACACTGGTTAGTAATGTTGTATATGGTGCTCGGATGCTTGAGTTTAGAATCCACTTTACTAGAAAAGCAGCCAAAGAAGTGTTAAGAGGATAAGAAAAAAATCAAAACAGAAGCAGCCAATAAGGTAGACGTTAAAAGTACTATAAGTGTCACTAGGATAAGTGAAGATCTTTCATAATCCGAAGAAGACTTGTTACAAGCTAATAGGAAATCCAGAATCAGCGTTTCAAAGGGTTTTTTTTCCATTTGCCACATTGCTGTGTATTTTAAAAGCAATGACAGTCTTGACTGTCTGAAGAGTAGGCATCAGAAGAATGTAGTAGTAACTTTTTAAAACTTTTATCCAAGAAAAATGCTATTTGATACCCAATTTTCTTCCCATCTTCTGCAACCTTAGTGAGCTTTTCACAAATTCCTACCTGCAGTTCCCACACATTTGAAAAGATTTGCAAATGTTTTTGCTTTATTGTTTCAAGTTTTCCAGCAGGGTTTCTAAAGAAGTTACTCTTATTAAATCATTTTATTCAAAAAGTCTAATCAGTTTTCTATAATCTAGGAATGCTTATTTCAGAGAGAATGCCACCAAAACCCAAGTATGTTGATATCCCATATCTACAACCAGAAATTAAGTCTTTAAAAGGTCAGATTTTTAATCCTTTCAGATACCTCTTCAATATATTACCCAAGTTTGGTTTTTCATCTGATTCACTAGAGTCTGTATATCTTTCAAAAGACTGTAAAGAGTCAAGTTTTAGCAAACAAAGTTATATAACATTAAAAATCAGGACCAGCTACAATCTATTACTTTACATGTTAGTCTCTCTAGCTCTGAACCAATGACTGACAATTTAAAAACACTGCTGGAAACAATTCAGCAATGAAGAATGGGGTATTTGTAAAATTTATTCTGCTTCTGGAGAAAATGAGATGAATTTTTAAAGAAAGTTCTGTTCTCCAGGGTCAATAGCTTATTAACACGCGTACTCTTTTGCGACCTTATCTTAAGATTTGTAATACAATTAATTTGGAATATGTTCTTGGTTCAAGTCAGAAAATATCAACAAAAGAACAGTGAATTCATAAAAAAATATAATCTTACAAAAACTCATTATATGGGCTTGGCAGGCAAAATCTAGAGCCTCAAAAGGTAGTATCTAGCATAATGTGGGATACAGTGGAAATGGAAGACACCCAACAGAAAGGCACTGCATAGGCTACATGAGTTCTAGGATGTATCTAGAAAGAAAAGCTATCATTCATCAGTTTTCATATCACCAAATATATCTACAATATTTCTCTTACAGGTAATAAAAGCATAAAATGAGACACTATGGGGTCATTCTCCTACATGAACTCAATTAACTCTAAACCATTTGGCACAGATACCAATGTCAAAATTCCAAGGGGCTACTTCAAAGGTATGGCTACCTAGGGAATAGCAATCAGATGGAGAGATTATCTAAGAGTAGTACATATACATGTTCACTCCAAATCTGAGTGTAAATTGAGCAAGCCTCATCACTTGGTCATGCAAGCAAGACATCCAAATATAAACTTATAAGATTTCAGCTCAGGAATTGTAATTTTCTATATATATTTGTACAGCTCCTACCCCAACCTGGTTGGCATCTAAGCACCATCACAAAAAAAGTTAACAGCAGCAAGGGACTCCAATCAGGATTAGTGTCAATTTTAGAACAAACAAAAGAAAACATTATTTCACAATAACCAAACTTTGATTTCACTATGGCAGGAGGTCAGGAGTCTGATGCTATGATGATTATAAACACTTACCAGTTACGGATGCTGATCAATGCCCATTCTTCAGAATATTAACCACTTATTTTTAAGAGTTAGGAAGGTATTGACCCTATTGGCCTACAGTCCCACATGCAATACTGCTGAAATGACCAAATGCACTGAGAGGATTTTCTGGAACACTCGGTATTGGTCATTGCCAAAAGCAGCATAGTGTCCAGATATATCAGTAATCTGATTTATCAACCTTAGTTGGGTACTCAATTTTTAAAGAACTGAGTCACTGAAGATCATTTAGAATAACTTCCAACCTTTCCCCCTTAAGATAAGCAAAAATAAACTGATCTTATAGAAATATCTAATTACCATATTAAATATTCTTCCATATGAATTACACACAGAACAAGGAAATGAACCCTGCTTTACAGCACTTTTACAAATGTAGCCTTGTTTTATACTGGCTTCAAAATAATTTAAGTTTTGGCATGTCTATTTTAAACACTGTTCCGGCTCTGGGGGTGATCTTCTCCATTCTCGTAGTGCAGTAAAACCTGTGTTATCCGGCACGCTCGGGGATTAGGGCGTTCCGGTTATCTGAGGGTCGCCGGTCGGATGAAAACAGCGTGCTGCTAGGCTACGCTCAGCCTTGTGCCGGCTGGATCAAAGCACCGTGCCCAGCCCTTGGCCGACCAGATCATAGAATACTAGGACTAGAAGGGACCTCGAGAAGTCATCGAGTCCAGTTCCCTCCCCCCATAGCAGATCAAAGCACCGTGCAGCTGCGTCAAGCCCCCGGCTGGCCAGACCAAAGTGCTGTGACTTCCGGGAGAGAAATCTGCAACCACCACTGTTTTAGAATATACCAGATGGCTTCGGAAAGATTAACGGTTAGTAGATTGGCGAACTGTATTAGCTTAATAGGAAATTTGCCAGCTTCTAAAGTTTTTAATGCGAACTGTATTAGCATAATAGGAAATTTGCCAGCTTCTAAAGTTTTCTGGATAGTTAAGTGCCAGATAGCGCAGGTTTTACTGTAATCCCTTTTGAAGAAAAACTCTGGGTGGCAGCTCTAAGACTACTGGATTTGGAGCTAATGAAAAGTAATGTTAACTCTCACACAGCTTCCGTCTAGCAAGGAATGGATGTCACAGTATTCCTGGCTCCTCTCTCTGCTCTGGGGAAAGCAGGAAGGGCCTTATGACAAATCCAGAAATCCATTCAACTCTGCCAAAGCTTCCAGGCTCCCAAGTTCTCAGACTCTTCTTAACAGCAAGTTGCAAACCATAAAGTTATTTTCACCAAACTGGGGCAACAGCTAACATTGCCCTTTGGCTAATAATATAATAAAAGCCTACATAAAACAGACTCCGTGCTACTCAGGAAGATCAGAATTGACTGCTGGGCTCAAGTCCTGGTCTTCTGGTTGACAGGAGGTCTGGATACTTCATTTTCCTGTATTCTGTTATATATCTGACTGTATAATCAAGGAATTCCTGCCCCAATCACTAAATAATGAATACTTAAGTTCAAACAGATTTCATTTAGAGGGCTTCCTAGCTATACAGCTGGTATTTTTCCCATGAGTTCAGAAGAATGCAAACTCCCTCACTATACTCCTGAGCTCAATTAGCATTTTGCCATTAAAACCCTTTCAAGGGATTCAGACTTCATGCAGGGAGAGGGAGCAGGGTTAAAACATGCACAGTGCAGCAACATTTTCAGACATTTGTAAAACCTAGCACGAACACAGTCTAGGTGTTTCAGCAGCATAAAATTAATACTTTCTGGTGATCCAAGGCAAATATTTAGAGTTCAAACATTCATAACCACTAATCAAACTATTCAAAAGCAACATCAAAGTACTGACAATAAAGAAATGTCCTCTTATTTACCCCAAGTTACAATTCAGCAATACTGACCTTTCCTTCCGAGTACTGCTTAGTGTCTACAGGTGTATGAATATAATCTCCACATTAAAATAAAGCATGAGCTGTGTCCACTCAGCCATGCTAATTTTTACTACTGTAGATACAGAGTGAGGGGAAGGAACAACTGCTTTATACGGACAACCCAAGCAAATTTCCTGGACTTTAGGGTTTAAGACAGCAGTTCACCTTTGACAACAGTACTGTTAACCAAAAGAATTGAAACCTACCAGCCTTTGCTGCTCCAACAAGAGATCTGCTTCCTCCTTCTCCTTCTTGTACAAAATTTCCATTTCTTGTAACCTGGAAGAAAAAAAAAACCATAGGAGATGTAGAAGCAGCCACAGACTACTTTTTGTGTTAATGTTACTCTGTCTACAGAATCTGTTAAGTAACAAGGATAAAAGTAAGTTTGAGGCCTACATGTGAATGTCAATACAAAAGCATGTCAACTACTATTCTTTCTGCCTCCTTCAAACTAAACACTTTTCTGTTCACTTGGAATGAGAATTACCCTAGACCTCTGATCCCAAGAATCTGACCTAATCTGTTCCACTGTTGCCTAAATTAGTGACTATACTTTCTGAAATGTACAAAAAGCCTTATTATCACACCCACTGTTACTAGTTTGTGTATTAAACAGTTAGAATTATTAGTGACCATGGAGTTTAGTTTCCTCCAAATATAAAACAAGAAGTCGTCTCAGTTAACAGAGGACCATTCTGGTCCTCTTACCCCCTTATGAACAGATAACTTGGTGGAAGCAAAAAAACTGGAGAAGTCACAATTTGTATAACTTTCCAGCATTCCTTCTTTGTCAATTTAAGAACAGCTGTGTCAAGAGACCATCCAATTGCTTCCCTTATATTCCCAGCTTTGGCCATAAATTTCATGTTTAGGGGACATAGGAGTCCACTTCTTTAAAACTAGCCAATTAGCCAGGCATAAGACGGGATTTTCAGGTCTCTCCTCCACGTCAGTCTTCTCTCCTGAGCCTCCCCTGTCCCTCTCCTCCCCTCTCTCAGCTCTCCTCTGCCTGTCTCTCACTTTCTCTTCTCCTCCCCCTTCTGCCTTTCACTCGGGGGGCCGCGGAGCCCAAATTATGCCTGGCTAATTTGGGCTCCACACTCCCCATGCTGCATGTGGGGCGTGGAGCCCAAACGGTCGTTTGCGCCACTTGCTCCAACACTGCGGCCTGGCTGAGCAGCACAGAAGTCAACCGAACACCATGGCAGGAGGCGAAGTGGGGCGGGGCAGTGACATACATGGCCAGTCCCTGCCCCCTGGCCATGTACGAAACTGCCCCGCCCCTCTTCCCCTCCCGCCGTGGCACTTGGCTGACTTCTGCGCTGCTCAGCCGGGCTGCCATGGGGGAGCAAGTGGAGCAAGCAGCCGTTTGGGCCCCGCACTCCCCATGCTGCACAGGCTGCCCAGAGGGAACAGCCAGCATTTCAGCGTTACAGACTCACAGACACTGGGCTACTAAATATATGATTCCTCTAACAAAAGAGATAGGTAAAAACATAGCACATGTCCTTATGCGCCACTTCGTTAATCTAGCTTTGCATTTTTTTTAAGGTGTGGAGCAAAGGCTCTAGTGCCCTCATTTCATAAGGAAATAGGAATTAACCAGCCTTTCCTAGAGAAAAGCAGGTATTAATGTCAGACTGATCCAAGAGGTGATGCCATCCTAAAAGAGGTCTAACAAAATATACCAGACATTCCAAGTAAAATAAGAGTTGGTTGGTTACCTCTTCTCCATCTCCTGCTTCATATCAATGCCCTGTTTTTCTAAGAGTTCCCTTTGAGCAAAAGTCCAGTCTACTGGTTCAGAGGGAGTTTCAGCTGATGGAGTTTTCTCCCTCTCTGCTCGTGCTTGCTCAGGGTGGTTGAATCGGAAAACATGATTTTTACCCATGATGATACGATTTCCTAAAATAGTAACAAAAAATTAACACTCTTGTTTTACAACTCCAGAATCTACAAAGTGATGTTCACTCTAAGCTGTTCACATGACCTGAGCATCAGAAGACAGGATTTCCAAAAGAGAATTTGGACACAATATTTTAACATGTAGTAGCAGGTGACCAAATGAACAAAAGAAACCCTATACTTAGTGCAGAGACAGTTTCATCTTTACATCTCAGTGCCAGCCCCAGAAAATGCTCATATTAGAAAACCTGCATGTAGATCCTGACAAACCCCTACAGAAACTCATTGCAAAATAAAGAATGTTTTCTGATAGACTGACAGTTTCAACAAATAAGCTAGTCAACTAATTTTTTTTTTTTTAATCATGGGCAAAACCCACCCCACAAGCATTTCTATTTTAGATCATCTAATGGTTCACTTTAGAAGAAAGGATGCTTTACACTTTCATGTAGAGATTTGCCCCCTATGTCATTTAAGTTTCTACTTATGTCCTAATCAGTGAAATTTCTGGGGAAGGATTTACTACTTCATTCTCCACAGATTAAGTAGAAGTCACAGGTAAGGGGAAGCTAAAAAGTTACATTTAAGAGCTTCAGCAATCAGATGTATAGGAAACTTTAAACAGTGCCTAAAAATTGATAAAGTACTTGTTTTCTCAAGCAATACAAATGAACCTCCAGAGCAATCAAGACTGTCATTGTGAATCTGCTAGTAAAACAACTGTCTCCTGAAGAGAGTAATGATTTTTATCATAATTAAAACTACTGATTTACTGTCAAGCTATCTTTTTAAAAAGTTAGCTTGTAAGAGAACATGAGTAGAAGTTCCCTCTTCAGGATATGCCTAGCTTGCATCAGTATTTTTTAAAAGGACCATGATCATTGGAAGAGAAAGACAATTCCCATTCACACATACATCATGCTTGCTGAAGCTGATGCACTTAATTCCTTGCAAGCACTAATTTACAAGCCAGACTCCACAACACTGAACTGCATTTCGGGACTAGCAGAATAATATGGCTGTGATTAAAAAGAACTGAATTCTGAAGATTTCAAGTTTACATATTATGAAAGCCACTCTCCTTGCCATCTGAGACACGAAGGACATGTGGAGATCTAACCAGGTTACTGAGTATATAAGTTAAAAAAGGAGACATGCTGTTGTGCTCCAAAATGGGGTCACATCTTTGCTGCGCCAGAGAAGCTGGGGATTTTCCATCAGCAGCTGGCAATCTGCTCTCTCACACTGCAATTGCTAATGGCAGCAGTCTTGGCTAAGTTCATACTAAAAGAATATCTGAGTAAGTAGGGAGAAATAGACAGTGTTCTGAGATATAGTGAACATTTAAGCCAGGCTTTCAGCTGTTGCAATGGGAAGGGCCTGAGAAAATAAAAAAGCAGGAACGGTTACTAATGGAGAGAAATGAGAACAACTGCTATATGATACCTCCACTCCAAAAAAAAGAATACATCCCTCCTCTTTAATAGCATCAAATTTTCTTCACTAGTCCCACATTGAACACAGTGTACGGACAATTCCCGAGGAATAATCTGTGAACAACAGAAAAGTCAAACTTCTGAAGACTCTTACCTGAGCGCAGTTGCACAGGCTGCACAACCCTCTTGCCATTGACGTATGTTTCTGACCGTTCACAAGGCTCCAGAGTAACAATAACTAGCAGGAACACACAGTATTAATGCAACAGAATTCAAGTTTATTTAGCAAAAGTGAGGAAATGCCAAAAGCCCAGAAATCTTCTCATCCCCTGACTACCAAACAGCACATATAAGCAAACAATGCATTGCCCCCTACATACTCCACAAGGATTCCAGGGAAGTTATTCTTTGATATTACATCCTGGTTAGGAATGGATAGCAGCACATGACCAAGTGGTGCAGTTATTCAGCCAGTATTTCTGACCACCCAAGTAGTACAGATATCCATGTAACTCATTTGTTAGGTTTGCTTTGGGTCTCTTTCCCCCCCACCCCTTTTTTTTGCACACAGGTGTAACGACTGAATATTTACACAGCCTAAAACTTGGTCATTCCGACAGATGCCTCATTGTATGATCTGAATAATAAACTTAGCACATTTCATACATAGCACTTTCATTTCTTTTTAATTGATTTAAGCACAGCAGATGTGTCAGGCATTATGGGCACCCAAAGTTCCTAACTTAAAAAAAAAAAAAAAAGAGTCACGGGGTTTCAGCAGCTCATGATTAAATCATACAGGCATTATGGGCACCCACAGTTCCTAACTTTAAAAAAAAAAAAAAAAAGAGTCACGGGGTTTCAGCAGCTCATGATTAAATCATATTTGCCTCAGTAACACCGCAGGCAGCAAGAGGAAACCTGGGCTACAACTCTGTCTCAGGCCACTAAGCATGCATCTACACAGCACCCTAAACTTGAAATTTTGATTTGAAAACCATGGTTTCTTCACATCTTGAATACTGCATACAGATGTGGTCACCTCATCTCAAAGAAGATATACTGGCATTGGAAAAGGTTCAGAAAAGGGCAACAAAAATGATTAGGGGTTTGGAATGGGTCCCATATGAAGAGAGATTAAAAAGACTTGGACTTCTCAGCTTAGAAAAGAGGAGACTAAGGTGTGATATAAAAGAAGTTTATAAAATCATGACTGGTGTGGAAAAAGTGAATAAGGAAACATTATTTACTTATTCCCACAATATAAGAACTAGAGGTCACCAAATTAAATTAATAGGTAGCAGATTTAAAACAAACAAAAGGACGCTTTTCTTCACTCAGCACACAGTCAACCTGTGGAACTCCTTGTCAGAGGATGCGGTGAAGACTACAGCTATAACAGGGTTCAAAAAAGAGCTAGACAGATTCATGGAAGTTAGATCTATCAATGGCCATTAGCCAGGATAGGTAGGAATGGTATCCCTAGCCTCTGTTTCTCTGGAGGTGGGTGACAGGGGAGGGATCACATGAGGATTACCTGTTGTGTTCCCTCCTTCTGGGGCATCTGGTATTGGCTACTGTCGGCAATCAGAATACTGGGCTAGATGGACACTTGGTCTGACCCAGTATGGGTGTTCTTATGTTCTTATTCTATTTTGAAATAGCTGAGTTTGAAATTTGGCGCATCTACACATCCCTTAATACTCATGGAATGAGGGTTACAAGGATGCTGAAATAGCATGCCCATTATTTCGAAAAATATTTCAAAACAACGGGCGGCTTGTTAAGACATGAGGTAGCTATTTTGGGATACCTCTGGTATCTCAAAATAGCCATACAGTGTAGATGTACCCTAAGGGAGTCTGTCAAGGCCACAAATAAAACTCAGGTGTTCCTGATTTCCCACTGTTATCCCACTGCTACCCCTCATCATGGGTTCAGTTTCACTTTTCAAGAGGCAGCCTGGACACCCAGAGCAGGCAAAAGGCAACATTATTTATAATCTTATCCAAAGAAGAACACCTTTAACAGTATACAAATGGTCCAAACTGTATTACACATTCCACCTGGTCATAGCACAAAGGATTAAGACCAATAGAAGCTGGCCCAAAAGAAAGAATACTTCCACCTAAGCCAAACTGATGCATTACAGAAACATCAAATATTAGAACTGCCCTATTATAGTTGTAGCTTCAGCTCCAGTAACTCTTCACATCCACAGAGCAAAATAAACTTGACTAATCTGATGCACAAGGGCTATTCACATCCCATCTAGCCTCTCAGCTCTTCTCTCCTCCAGACTTCACACAAACATTTCGGACCACAGCTACTCATACACAGATCAGTTTTTTGAAAGACCCAAACTATACTGTGCTGAAAACCATTTTCATGGAGAGAGTACCACTTATTCCTGCTTTTATATGCAGGACTCATGAATGCCATCTTACCATCACCATTGTGGTTCCTCTCACTTCGGAAGAGACAATGTTCCTCTTTAATGTGAGCCCCACTCAGCACAATGTCCTGTCGCCGCTCAGCATCTGCCTGTCCAACCCTGAATCCAACAGAGAGCATTTCAGTTGCAATTCAAACATTGCCTACTATACAGCCCATAGAAAAGATACATTTCTCTGGCTATTATGGAAATAAGAGACAGATCTAAAATATTACAGACTATTAAGAGCTAAGAAAATGCATCCTTGAGCCAGCAGCATATTATGCTTAATGCTGGCTTTGGTTTGGCTCAGATGATAGAAGTTTTTGGAGGATAGAGGCTCTTGCAGGAAACAATTTATAGAACAGTATAATTTTATTTTATACTAATCTTCATCTGTTCCATGATAAATATGCCCACCTAGCAGCTGAATACTGCTCTGCATTCTAGAGAACCATCAACACTCCCACCCCCCTATTCTTCTCCCAGCTCTCCTGCCAATACACTCTGGAAGAAAATTCCTTCTAAATTCCCGATCTGGCAATTGAGTTTGATCCTATGCACGTGAACAAGAGTTGATTTTATTAACTGTGTGTTTACACTGATAGCCAGGAAAATAGTATACTTGGCTTTGGGTGACATGCTTAAAAAAGGGGAAAGATACCGCCTCAGTGTGGAAAAAGAACAGAGAATTACTTTCAAATTTGTTCAGGAGACAACAGAAATCTAACCAGCTTTACAGAGCTGAGCAGTTTTGAGTACTCCACTTACCTAAGTCCTCCTATCAATTTTTGTGGTTTACAATCAACCACTCCATCCTATATTTTCAAAGCAGCTGCTCTTCCTTGTTGCTTTTGAAAGACCAAGTGGTAAATAGCTGGGGATACTGAGTGACAATGCATAGTACTATTAAAGTATAAAATAAACATAATATATATTTCTCTAATCTAATCTTAGATGTTATTTGCACGTAAAATAGTCTAACAGAGAAATGTAATTTAGGATGATGTCCCTTTAACAAGAAATCTCTTAAGTGTAGAAAAGCCAAATCTCACCTAGTGATGCCATCTTTGATATAATAAAGCAGACATTCTGACATGAGTGGATCTTCATTGAGGTTCACAAGATGAGGTGTCTGCAACAAAACACAGAACATGTTAATCAAGGGCCAAGCACCTTCAACAGCTGTGGAGATTAAAGGAACCCAACATCTTTACCACATAACCAGATTATTAAACAAAAACAAAAAACATAACCCTGCATTTCTAAGTGAAATGCCAACTTTTTCACACAAACACAGACCTCTCTGAGGACAGGGCACAAGTGTCAGACAATCACAGCACAAAATTATTCTAGAGAAAGGATGCACAGAAGAAAATATTGTATACTGAAGAATCACTGATTCATTGTCTCAGCAAGTCTTGATAAAGGTTTGAGGGAGGGAAAGTTCAATAGCAGCGTACTTCCCATATGCTTCATTGTTTTTAATATAAAATAAACAGGCACTCCTTAAATTCCATCTTCACAGCCTATAAACTTAGAAAGGATAACTAAAACTACTGACATTTCCTCCTACAAGAGCTAAGAATCTCTTCAGCTACAGTGCTACTTAACTTAGTTTACAATTATTAAAACCAACCTTCTTTGGTGAAAACACCCCATTGGAATCAGCAAACAAGTCACACGGCTTTGGTGTGAAAATCTGGCCAATGAGATAGCAGCAATTCACACAGATTAAAGAACACAAAAGAAAGGATAAGAAAGTAGAGTCAAGCAGACAGCAAAGAATTAGACCAAAGGAAACTGAAAATATTAACACTCTCTTGTAACCTACAACTATATCAATAAGTAGCAGATCTGTTTGGGTGGTTCCCTTTGCAATGCCTAGCTCCATCAGTTTATAACAACTCCAAAAGAAGTTTGTGTGTTACATTGATGGAAGCTCGAAGGATATTTAGATATAAAAACACAGCTGAATAGTGCATGCTATATAAGACAACAAGAACCTTCATCTAGAAATTAAAGTATACTACAGGTTGAACCTTTAGTCCAGCATCATTGGGACCTCACCATTGACAAACCAGAGAATTTGCTGAACCACATGAGGTTACTATTTTAGTGAATGGGTCTCTATCTTTATTTCACCAAAGCTAATAAATGTAACAACGCTTGCAGTTCTGCTTAATACACCCTACACTTAGCCAAGGCTTATCAGCTCTCTTCATAACAAAATACAAAAGTTGTACACAATTTTATTGTAGTGGCACAAGGAAATAAGTAGATAAAGCATAAAAGTCATGCTTATGCTTAGCAGCATTACCAGCAATTCTACTGCTTGCTTATGTCTAGGGTTAATTTAGAGCTAAACAACAGCACAAAATATAGAGAACTGGGACTGTTACCTGTAAACAAACTTTACGAGACAGAGAAATTTGGCCATACCCATGATAAGTAGACATGCGGTTAATGAAAATCATGCTGGACCACAGGATGTTGCCGTACTAGAGAGTGCCGGACTAGAGAGATTCAATGTGTATTTGCATGGCACCCATTCATTAGTAATGGGAACTATAACCCCAGCAGTGTGTGCTTCCATTGATTAACCAATGGGACAGGCTCTCTCAAATTAAAATGGCTCCCACTAGCCACCACAGAGAAAAGCATTCCCAACAGAAACCAGGACTTCATATCATGCATGGTTAAGCATGGACTGAGTACTATATATGAAAGGAATGGGATTTGGTTCCTGGCTTGCACCCAAATGGGATTACAGATTCAGTCAAACTATTCCAGAGGAAAAAAAATCTTCTAAGAAAGTCAGCTATGTTATCCAACAATAATTTGTTTCTAGGCTTCAAAATTCTGGGGAGTTAACTGAACAATACATAAACATGGGAGTAAACAGTGCAGAAAGTGACCTTTGCAAAATAATGTAAATGTCCACCTATCAATTTACTAATTCACTGTGAATGGCAGCTAGCTAATTATGAAAATTATAAATGGAAATAAAGGTAAAGAAAAGTGTAATGACAGCACTATTAAATAAATACTCATACACTGAAAGTTTCACTGCACTCAGAAATCCAGGATTTCTTTATGACAAAACAAATTATATGAGTACACAATAGGATAAAATCTGCCTAGTTATACAAAGAAGTATAAAGTTGACAGGATATATAATTTGTGTTTTACAAGTAACTAATGATAGAATTATTGGTATACATTTTTCATACAGGAGATGCTCTTTTTGCTTCTGTTTTCCAGTTCTTAGATGAGAGAAAGTCTAACCTATACTGACACTGCTACAGATACCTAGAGATTTCAGTTTAGAAAACAAACTGCTTAAAAACAAACCCTCTTTGGAGAAAAAAATCCTATTGGACTCAAATACGCCACTCTTCATTAATGCTGTTCAGTGTGCAGCAGGAAGGCATTTAGAGTTGTAGAAGTGTTAGACATTTCAGCTATTATCTACTGAAAGAAACCAAACCCTAGAGAAGGGCTCAGCCATTACAAATAGAAGAAAAAGAGTTACATGTTATGGAAATTTAGACCCTCTTTGGAGAAAAAAATCCTATTGGACTCAAATACGCCACTCTTCATTAATGCTGTTCAGTGTGCAGCAGGAAGGCATTTAGAGTTGTAGAAGTGTTAGACATTTCAGCTATTATCTACTGAAAGAAACCAAACCCTAGAGAAGGGCTCAGCCATTACAAATAGAAGAAAAAGAGTTACATGTTATGGAAATTTAGAAA